GGGAGAAAGTACTTGCAACACACATTATTACCTATACTACTAATATTATATTAATAATATTCTATATTCTGTATCCAGAATATTGAAAGAACGCTTATAACTTAAAATAAGACAACTCAGTATGGAAATGGCTGAAGTAACTTCTAGTTATAGCTAATGTACACATAAAAAGAGATTTAGGGTAGGTTCTTTGGCTTGACAGTGATGCAATGCTCAAGAGAGGCCAGATTCCACATGGAGGCCATAGTTCAAATCCCTGGCTCAGTTGTATGTGAGTGCCCAGGATCCAAAAGACTGGGGGAAAGAGGTTGTGGCATGATCAGACCTTATGGAGGGTGCTCATCTCATACTCTCACATACATACACAGACACACACTCCATCATGAATAAACAATAAGCAAAATTTTAAAAAAAGATTTCAATGCCATTAACCATCAGAGAAATGCAAATTATTATTAAAATTACCACTATATGCGCCACTGTAGTCCCCCTAGGACAGCTAACATGAAAAACACTGACCATTCACAGAGTTAGCAAGGATGTAGGGCAGCTAGACTCACTGCTGAGAATGCAAAATGATACAACTTGAAAAAATATAATTTTTTAAAAGTTATACAGCTACTATTCTACCTATTAATTCTATTTCTAGTATTTAACTATGAGAACTGCAAATTTATGTTCCCACAAAGATACCTACACAAATGCTCATATTAAGCTTTATTTTTTGAAAGCCTGAAACTGGAACTCAATATCATCAACTGATGAATGGATAAACATAGTATGATTTATCCATACAATGATGTATCAGTTAACAATAAAAAGGAACCAACTGACGCTGCATATAATAACATGTATGAATCTCACAATCATTCTGCCAAAATACAGAAGTCAGGCTAAAAAAAAGAGGAAGGGAGGCCAGTAAGTGGCATGGTGATTAAGGCGCTAGACTCCCACATGGCCAACCACAGTTCGCATCAGATCAGGTGGCTTGCAAATCACACTGGAAATGTGTGTCCAAAGTCCTTAGAGGAGAAGGGAGAAGAAGGGATTGTGGTGTGGACAATCCCCCCTCAAAGGGTGACTTCTCACGTTCCCTCTCTTTGTCTCTCTCCAGCAAGTACATGTGCCCTATGGCAAAAACCTTTTAAAAAAAGAAGGAAAGGAAGGAAGAAAGAAAAAGAGGAAGGCACAGAGAAACTTTGGGGGAAATGGAAGGGTTTGCTCTCTTGGAAAAGGTGGTGGTTTCGAAAGTAGATGCTTATGTTAAAATAAATCAAGCAGTTCATTCGATTCAATTACACACACATCAATAAAGCTGACAAAAGGTCAAGAACTAAAAAAAATATATACTAAGAATAAAGTTCAGGCATTTTGCAATCCTAGCAGTTCAATACAAATTAGAGTATCTAGGTGGGAGAACTCACATCTCTCCTTCAAGAGAAGTAGCAATTCTCAATAACTCTCAAAGAAGATTTTTTCTTTTGAAAAAAACCTCAACTTTAACCTCTACTTAACTGGTAAGACAAAATAAATGATGGACAATAAGGTTTTTGAGCAACAATTACGGAGTAGATTTTAGATTATGAATAGGAATCCCAAATGACATTATTTAGTAAAGCTGATAAACAGAACCTTTTTTTCCATTTTTTTTTTTATTGCCAGGAGGCACATATGCTCACCAGAGAGAGAGAAAAAGCACTCTCAACAGGGTGTGGTCACGCCACAATCCTTTTTCTTCCATTTCTCCATCCTGTGAGGATTTGGGGCATGCACTCACAGAAACCTGGGATGTCTTCCATACTGTTGGGGCTGGGATTCAAACTGTTGTTGGTCATGTGGGCTCTGGCTTTCTAAACATAGTACTTAACCACTCATAAGGATTTTTTTTTTCCCAGTCACAGTGGCATAGGTAGTAGGGTGCTGCTGCACAATACTGAACCCATATGGGAGGGCCTGGGTTGGGATCCTGGGCAAACACGAAAATGCCCAGTGTACCTAAAGATATGCCCATGATCCTGGCTAGCTGAAAGGAGAAGGATGGGGAGGACTGTGGCATGAAAAGACTGTTGAGGATACTCGTCTTTCTGTCTCTCTTTCAAAAGAAAGAAAGAGGAAGAGTAAAAGAAAAAGGGGAAAAAAAAAAAACAAATAAATTTTGGGAACCAGCAGTTAGCATAATGGCTATGTCACTGGACTCCCACGTAGCCGACTGCGGTTCGCGTACTGGACCCGGTGGCTTAAAACTCATGCCAGGCACGTGTGCGTGCGTGCCCAAGATCCCAAGAGGAGAATGGAGGAGAAGGGATTGCGGCGTGGCCATCCCCCCTGGGGGGTGATTTCTCGCTTTCTGTCTCTATGTCTCTCTCTGTCTGGTGAGCGCATGCGCCCTATAGCGAAAACCTCTCCCAAAAAAAAGAGAGAGAAAAAAAAAATCTAAAAAAAACCCAAAAACAAATAAATTTTTTAAAAGTATTGCTTGTTGCTAAAACAGGGTGAAGTGGTGCAAAGTATATGATGACGCCAAATGTTTTACTGGAACATACAAATTAGTCATCTTAAATTCAACATATCTAGTTTATTTTATAATGGGTACTATTTATTAAAATAAGAACACTAATGATTTTCAAATACTGTTATTAATAAATAACAAATACGTATAACTACTACTATCTGATTTTAAACTTCACAAAAGTGAAAAAAAACTCTTCAGAACACCACAAGCTAAAGCCTTACACAGGGACCAGCAGGTGGCATGATGGTTGGGGGACTGGACTCGCACCCAGCCAACTATGATTTGAATACTGGACCTGGCGGCTTGCTTTCTCACTTTCCCAATCTTTCCCTCTGTCTCTCTCTGGTAAGAGCACATGCCCTAGAGGAAATTTAAAAATAAGAATAAAAATAAAATTAAATGATTCTTTTAAAAAATTGTTAATATATATAAATACAGATTAATTTCTATGTATATTCTAATGCAAATTAAGTGTAAAAAATATGTGAATTTCAGAAAGTTTTGTTTTTGTTTTTGCCAGAGGACAAATGTGCTTGTCAGAAAGATGGGGTGGAAAAAAGCACTCCTTAATGGAACATGGTCATGCCACGATCCCTTCTCCTCCATTTCTCTGTACTGTGGGGATTTTGAGCTTGCACGCGCTAGCACCCAGCATGTTTTTCAAGCTTCCAGAGTCAGGATTCAAGCCATGTGGGATCAGACTCCCAAGAACAGCCCAGACCACAAGATCAGCCCAGTATTCTTAAGTATATAAACAAAATTCAAATGTAACGCAAGACAGAATATGAAATCTAGAGATCAGCATTTGATGTGTTTAACAACATAAATAAACCCCTAGAGGCAAGTTATAAAGACCTCGAATATGAGAAGACATCCTGAAAACAATAAAATAAAACCACTTTGATTGACATAACTGGTTAAATAAAAATATGTAGCTAAAATAAAACAAATTTAGAAATGATAGGAGAGAGAAAAATTCCAGTGCCCCTCTCTCTTAAGTAAAGGCATTTTACTAAATATTTCATTAAGGTCTTTCCATTTAAACTTCTAGAGTATAAACTCTTTCAGATTTAGCAAAGTTTTAAAATTTTAATTGACAAGGGAGCAGCAGGTGGCATGGTGGTTAAGGTGCCGGACACGCCCACATGGCCAACCATGGTTCAAGTATCGGACCTGGTGGCTTGCTTTCTTACTTTTTTTCCTCTCTCTCTCTGGTCAAATTAAAATGAATGAACGAATAAATTTAAAAATTAATAAATAATTGTTTAATAAAAACAATTTTAATTGACAAAAAAAGGACACTTTTACTTTCAAGTCAGAACATTAGTATATTATTTTTCATATTCTTCTCACTTATGATCACATTATGATTTCTATTTAGTTACTTGAAAATACATCTTTATGCATTTTCTACATCATAGTAATTTACTCAGGAATAGTTTTTACTTCCAGGTTCGATACACAGCTATACAGATCCAACATATAAACAACAGGCTGGTGTTGGTGACCTTGATCTCTTTATTAAAGCATTTTACCACTTTCTGAAGAGCTGAGTTTAGGTCCTTATCTCATTCAAATAACAGCTCGAAGCTACTCCCAGAGGGTGGAAAATACACATTAAAAGTGTGTGTGTGTGTGTGTGTGTGTGTGTGTGTGTAGGAAGAGAGGAGGTAGGGAGGAGAATAGAATAAAGATAGAGTAGAATGGCAAATAATAACTAATGAAAACTTGAGTGGCCAGCAGGTAGTATGGTGGTTAAGGTACTGGACTCACATTTGGCCAACCATGGTTCAAGTTTAGGACCTGGCAGCTTGCTTTCTCACTGGGAATCAGCAGATGGCATAATGGTTATATGGCTGGACTCCCACATGATGGACCACACAACAAGTCCTAGACCTGGCAGCTTCAAACTCATGCCAGGCACATGTGCATGCATGCCCAAAATCCTGACAGGAGAATGGAAGAGAAGGGACTGCAGCGTGGCAGTCCTCCCTGGGGGATGATTTCTGGCTCTTTATATCTCTCTCTCTGGTGAGTGCACACACCCTACATACAGCAAAAGTCCCTCTACAAAAAAGAAAACTTGAAACACTTACTAGTACACTTGACCTGTGCTAGTCAATTTAATCCTATTAACAAACCTATGGGTTAAATAATACAATCACACATCACTTAAAAATGGTGATATTTCTGAGAAATATGTCACTGGGCAATTTTGTTCTTGTGTAAATATCACAGAGTACACTTAGACAAATCTAGATGGTGGAGCCTACTTCACACCTAGGCTAAACGGTATAGTCTATTATACTCTCAAGGGCCCCCCATTTGTAAATGATTGATAGGACTGAAACAGGGTTGATCGAAACATCATCATGCAGCGCATGACCATATGAGAATTCCACCTCACAGAAGTGAAAACAAGGTGCAGTTCACATAGCGACTGACAAGAGTCAGTCTTGTTCCACAGCCCATGATCACCATCTCATACCTTCAGGAATAAGAACTTCATCTAACAATCAGGAGGTAGTTAGCCTGGTAAAGCAACCATGGCAGGGCTGGGGAGTGGGGGATACTGTTCCAAGCAATAAAGGCACTGAAAAACAAAAAAGAGAAAGAAAGGGAAAGCTAAAAAAGTTTCAGTGTCATAATAGACCACACAGAAAACCAAATGGGGGAAGTAAGACTAAGAAAGAGCTTTTACTTCTTATACAAAACAGTAAGGCTTCCTGAAATGTAAGTATTTGTCATATGGAAGCTGGAAGTCAGACATATTTAAAAATCTAACAGAAAGACTAGAGCAGTTAAAAAAAAAAAAAGGAGTGGTGGTGGGGGGGGCATCAGGAGCCAGATCCTTTATGGCAGATCAGAGTTAGAATTCCATCCCAATGGCTTAAGGAACATGCCAGATACGCATGAGTACCCCAGATCTTGACAGGATGGAGGAATGGAGGAAGGATTATGCTGTGACCATGCCCCAATGAGGGTGCCTTCTCTCTCTTTCTCTCTAGTGAGCACATGTGTCCTCTGGCAATTAAAGAAAAAAAAGGAATAAAGGCAGAAGTTCTATTCATGCGATAGGATTTTCAGCAGCATAAGGTAGGTCACCTACACTAGATCAAACAATGTAGAAACCAACTATAACAAAGCAAGAAAAGGCATGCTTCTCTCTAAGTGCCCTGCCCCACTGCCTAGGAAGCAGAGAAGTGGGACAGTTACCCCAAGAGTGCAGAGGTGAAATTTCTGGGGAGAGGGTCTGGAGTTTTTCCAGGCAGGAGACAATACGGAGAGAAGGTAGCTACCAAGAAGGAGAATACGGTCTGCCCCATTTACTACTTAGCACTCCTTCCTTCTGAAACGTTTCTAATCTACGACAGTGCCTACATCATGACTGCCGACACTTGCTGATTTAATTTTAAAAAGTTTACAAATGACCATTGTAATAAATCTAGGAAACTGGAAAAAAACAAAAGAAAAAACATTCATCAAAAGGCAATATCTATTAACAGCTTGGTATTTATATTCTTTTTGGTCTTTTCTCAAGGGATAAATAGTCGATTCCTTCTTTTGCACATTTTACATAGTAAGACATGCTTTCAGCAAGTTACTAAAACCATTCATAAGCACATTGCTGGACCTGGATACGATTTTTAGAATAAGGCAAACATTCATATTTACCTACCAAAATAAAATAAAAAACCCAGACTAAATATTGAGCAATGAAGAAATGGGTAAACAATAGGTTTTGAAAGTTTGGAGAATGTCAGGATTTTTAAACCACAGCTAGAAAATATTTGAGAAAAGTATGGAACCAGCAGTTAGCATAATGGCTATGTTGCTGAACTCCTACGCGGTTCGAGTTCCGGACCCAGTGGCTTAAACTCACGCCGGGCGCGTGTGCATGTGTGCCCAAGATCCCGAGAGGAGAATGGAGGAGAAGGGATTGCGGCATGGCCATCTTCCCTGGCAGATGATTTCTCGCTTTCTGTCTCTCTGTCTCTGTCTTTCTGGCGAGCGCACGCAACCTATAGCAAAAACCTCCCCAAATAAAGAAAAGAAAATATTTTTAAAAAGTCTTTAATCTTTCTTCACGTGTGCTGCAGAAATGAGAGTAATTTAGAGAGTCAAAAAAATAAATACTGATCCTTAATTTTGCTATTTACATTAAAATTCCAAATGTTGATGTATTTAAAGTAGATGTCTATAAATGTTATTTATTTTTTTAAATGTACTTAGTAAAACAGAATGACCATCCTTAAAATAGTATTTAGTAAAATGTTATTTTGCATGATAAAAAAGGTGAAGTTTCAAAGTTTTGTTATCATAAATACAAGATTATTCATAAAATATATAACAATTTCACAGAAACAAATAAAAAATGTATAGTTAGAGGTTTCAGCTGCTAGAATATATTGAATTAGTATAAATTTAGCAGTTAAAAAATACAAAACTTAATCATGAAGAACAAAATTTTTGAAGTCTAAATTATTGGCATAGTGAAAAACTTTTAACTTGATATCAAATAACTAGACTAAAATTGTCTTTGAAAATAAGTATGCTGGAATGTTCATCAGCAAGTCTTAAAGATGCCTCCCAAAGGAAAAAGTGGTTCTGGAAAAGGGGGTAAATCAGGAGCAGCGTCTGGGAGTGACAGTGCTGACAAGGTTCAGGGTTCCAAAGGTGGGGTGATGCCATAAAGGTCAGACACATTCTGTGTGAAAAACATGGCAAAATTATGGAAGCCATAGAAAAGTTAAAGTCTGGAATGAGATTCAATGAACTGACCACACAATGTAGTGCACGTAAAGCCAGGCAAGGGGGTGACTTGGGTTGGATGACCAGAGGGTCCATGGTGGGATCATTTCAACTTCGTTTTTTTTTAGGGAGAGGTTTTTGCTACAGGGGGCGTGCGCTCGCCAGAAAGACAGAGAGAGACGGAAAGTGAGAAATCATCCCCTGGAAGTATGGCCACTCTGCAATCCCTTCTCCTCCATTCTCCTCTTGGGCATGCACACACATGTGCCGGCATGAGTTTAAGCCACCGGGTCCGGTACTCGAACCACAGTCGACTACATGGGAGTCCAGCGACATAGCCTTTACGCCAACTGCTGGTCCCACAGTGGGACCATTTCGAGAAGCAGCATTTGCCTTGCCTGTCAGTGGGATGGATACGCCTGTGTTTACAGACCCATCAGTTAAGACAAAATTTGGATATCATATTACCATGGTAGAAGGGTAAAAGTAAAATCATATGAAAAGACTGAAAAAAAAAAAAAGAGAGAGAAGAAAAGAAGTATGCTGGGTCAACCCATAGTACAGTAAGGTCAGATTCTGTGCAGAGGAAGCCAGATTACACATGGCCAACTGGATTTCGAATCTTGGCCCTGTGGCTTAGAAAAAAACATGCCAGCTACATATGCATACTCAGGATCCTTATGGGAAGAAGACTGGAGAAAAAAGGATTGTGGTGTAACCAGACCCCATTGGGGGGTACTCACTCCCACAAGCACTCTCTCTCTCATTCATACATGCACACACACCATCTACAGCTAAACCAAAACCAAAAGTAGTCATTGCACTATTATTTCATCTTTCCTGAAGGTTTTACAATTTTCAGTGCTTTTAATTAAAGGGAGGAAAAGACATTTAAAAATAAGTATTAGTATGAAAGATGAAACAAAGTAATTCAAATATATACTTATTCGTGGTAAAAGAGATCTTAAACATTTATGTAGTCCAAGTAATTAACACTTTTCTAATATATATTTAAAGGGGCAATTTAGGAGTAATGACCTAAAAACTAAAAGGAGATTATAAATATACATTATCTGTTTTTCGCTTAATTACTAATCATTCCCTCACAAAATCCTTTTTGCTATGGGACGCATGTGCTCACCAGAGAGACAGAGACAGAGAGGCAAAAAACAAGAAATCACCCTGCGGGGGGAATGGCCAAGCCACAATCCCTTTTCCTCCTTTCTCCTCTCAGGATTTTGGGCAAGCACACATAAGGGCCCAGCGTGAGTTTTAAGCCACTAGGTCTACGACTTGAACCATGGTCGACTACGTGGGAGTCCAGTGACATAGCCATTATGCCATCTGCTGGTCCTCCAAAAACCTTATAATCTTCTTATATAAGTAAGGAAGCTGGATCCCAGTGATTAGAGATAAGCAAAGGTGACAGAAGAGAAGAGGCAATCTCTCAGATGTTTATAACGACGAGTCTACCAATTTCTGTGGTTGGAGTCACGACCAAAGAGGACCTGGTCTCAATAGTTAAGAACTCACTCCTTGTAGACAAAGTATTTCATATTCATAAATAAGGTCTTTTAAAAGACTATGAAGGGGGGTGGCAGGGGGCGTGGTGGTTAAGGGTGCTGGACTCCCACATGGCCAGCCACAGTTCGAGTCCCAGACCTGGTGGCTTGCTTCTCATTTTTCCCTCACTTTCTCTCACTCTGTTCTTCTGTGGTCAAATTAAAATAAATGAATAAATAAATAGAAATAAATGAAAAAAGCTTGTGGCCCGGATGATTAAGGTGGCTAGATCCCACATAGTTATGTGGGCTGAGTCCTAGACCCAATGGCTTGAGAAACACACTGGGCATGTGTGTATGTGTGCCCAAGATCTTAAAAGAACAGAGAAATAGAGAAGAAGGAATTATTATGTAACTGTGCCCCATGGTGGTGTTTTTTCACTTTCTCTCTCTCTCTGGTAAGTGCATCCATCCTCTGGCAAAAACTTAAATAAATAAACAAGCTTCAATTTTCTTAAAAAAAAAAAAAAAGTCGTGGAAAAATGGAATTAAAGTACAAGTTTGTTTCAGTGGAAAAAAAAAAAACAGAAATCCACAGTTTTTTCACAACACACATTTTCCATGAACTTGTCAAAGACCCCTCATATAATGGAACATTCTTAAGTGGATAAGTGGATTACATTCTCCCTCCTACCCTTTTTAAATTTATACCATTCCAGTAGTTCTAGACTGTGGACAACTAAATTTGAAATCCAACCCAAAGAAAGGCAAGCTGGCCAGAAGGTATTATAGGCCAGAGGGAGAAGATAACAGGGACCTGCTCTTCTTCATATTTAAAATACAAGTCCCTTTGGGCTTGCATTTTAACACGTCTGTTGTCTAAACCCAGTTTATCATGTCCCTTCTCAATACTCAGATTCATTTATTTGAAACAGATTTTCATGATACTAACTAAGGTAAGAAAGTTAACACATCCCTTATAAAGAAATATTTTTAAAATTTTGTTGTAAAGTTGCTGAAAAGGTTTAGTTTTAGGTTAAAGAATCTATAGGATAGTAAGATACAGAAAGCAAATCAAACTAGATAAAACAGAAAATAGAAAGTTGGCATAAATAAAACACTGAGGATAGAGAAAGAGAAAAAACATAAAAATGTGAGGGAAAAAATGAGAATATATGTATATTAAATACCCTTTAGGATATAAAAATATCCTCAGTGGCTCAGCAACAATAGTGTATATAGGTAGATACATGAGAGGCCCAAGTTTGAATACAGATTCAATCCAAAAACTAGGGCATAGTAACATGCACCTGTGGTCCTACATATTCAGGAAGTTCAGGCAGAAGGATTCCAACAAAGCAAGACCCTATCTTAAAAAACATCCTCGGGACCAGCAGTTAGCGTAATGGCTATGTCGCTGGACTCCCATGTAGTCGACCGCGGTTCGCATCCCATACCCAATGGCTTAAACTCATGCCGGGCACATGTGCGTGCGTGCCCAAGATCCTGAGAGAAGAATGGAGGAGAAGGGATTGAGGCATGGCCATCCCCCCGGGGGGTGATTTCTCACTTTCTGTCTCTCTGACTCTCTTTGTCTTTCTGGTGAGCGCACACACCTTATAGCAAAAAAATAAAAATAAAAATAAAAGAACTCTCAAAAAAAAAATCCTCGCGAACATAAAAAATTCATAGTATTTTTATATAATCTACCCATATCATAATATTATCTGATATTTAAGAGTTGTAGGGGGTATGGTTTTGAGTATTATTCTATCTATATTTACTCTTATTTAGAATACAAATTTAAACACACACACACACACACACACACACACAAATGGCCCCACATATGTTCTACAAATTCAAAATTTAAAAATCTTAAAAAAAAAAAAAAATCGAAGGAAATCTTTCCCTTAAAAAAAAAAAAAGTACCGTGAATGGAAACAACTATAAGAGCCTATACTCCTGGTCTCCAATTTGGTCATCTAACAAATTCCACTCTTGCAATGACTGTTTCAACAGGAGATAAATAAGAAGCAGAAGTCACCCTGTAAGACTGCACATAAAGGCAGGAGGTACACAAAGCTCTTTTGAAACAGAGAAGAGGTACTGAAGGCAAGATAATAAATGGACAAAGGAAATGACAAACCGCAAACATATAGCCAACCTGATCAACGCCCTTTTGTTAGACCTGAAGTCATGAGCCTCAGACGTGGCTTCTGCATGTGCTGCTGAGTGAAGTAGACCAAGATAACCTAAAAAGAGAGATGCAGCTTGTTCACCAGTAGGATTTTAAATGTGGGAAGGGGAAAGAACCTAATAAAAAGGATCTTATTACTAAGGCTAAAAAACTTCAGAGACCTCAACTTTTTGTCCAAAAAACTATAAGGAACATGCAAGTTGTCTTCTAAAAGGGAACAGGCATTCCTACCACAATTTCTGTTGTTTGGGGAGTGTGGTGGCAGCGGATGGGAGGTGAGACGGGGACGGTCAGGAATGACCAGTGGCTAGCAATCACTGTCAGGTCCAGCTGTCAGCACATCACCTGGCAACACTTGCTGGCATTTTGGACAATTTGTCCCTTTACTCTGCTTACATTCCACAAGGAGATGCCAGGGTATCTAGCCTGAAGAGCTATAATAAGGAGATTTTAACCTCAGTTCTTACTTTATTATTTGCAATAGTAGGGAATTCATCAGGGAGCAATTAAAACAAAACAAATCACAGCTACAATACAAAGATAAAAATGAAGGAGAGCAAAGACAGATGGGAATTTCTGTTCAAGAAATAAATGGAAATCAACAGGCCCCTCTGATGTTCTTACGTTCACTTCTCAGCCATCACCTGTAGGTACCATGTGAAAAGTCATTATCTATAGATTGTCTAAAGTTATTTTTGAAAACTCGGAATGTAGAACACTACAGCTACATTTAGGATAATCATTCATGAGACTTCAATGAAATGAGAAATCTTATTTCTTCTAGAAGATTCTGTTTCCTAGAGAATCATTAAGAACGAAACATTACCTCAAGGAACTGAAAGGTAAAAAGTAATTCCTGGAACATGTGTAACTCAAAGCCAAATAGAAAACGCTAATATAAAACCACTGAGTGGGAAAAGAACATCTCAGGTTAAAATTTTATTTTAAAAGTAAAAAGTAATGAAATAATTTCAAGTTATCACCCTAGTTAATAATGAAATTATTGAGCTGGCCCCACAGTGCACTGGTTAAGTGTGCTGCAGAGGGTACCGAAGCCCACACGGCCAACAGCAGTTTGAATCCCAGCCCTGGCAGCATGAAAAACACACTGAGCATGACTGCATATGCCCAAGACCCTGAAGGACTGGAGAAATGAAGGAAAAACGGATTGCAAAGTGACCGGGCCATTGGGGGGTGCAATCGCATGCGTACTTTCTCTAGTTCACGTACATATGCCCTCTGGGGGTAGGGGATGCTATTGTTTAAGTTTAACCTATTTTTAATTCACATAGTTTCCAGTACCTTCTCAAATAAAAATTAGTAAGTGACCAAAATTTAAAATTTCACAAGTAATTATAAACTCTTACATTAAAAAAAAATGTAACGAACCAGTAAAGAAGAACAAGATGTTGTCATCTGTGGAATTTGGATATATATAGTTAATAAAGAAGACAAGAACTAAAAGTTATCTTCTAAACAAAACCTAGAGTTTCAACACATTACAAGGCATGAACATACTTGAAGAGAAACATTAAAAATAAATTTCCAGGGCTGGCAGGTGAAGTGGTTAAGGGAGCTGGACTCCCACATGGCCAATTGCGGGTCGAGTCCCAGACCTGGCGACTTTCTCTCTCTCTCTCCCTCTCCCTCTGTGGTCAAATTAAAAAAGAAAAAGAAAATTAAATAAAATAATTCTTTTAAATAAATAAATATACTTCCACTGGGACCAGCATATGGTATAATGGTTATATTGCTGGACTCCCCCTGTAGTCAATTGTGGTTCAGGTCCTGGACCTGGTGGCTTGGAATTCACACTGAGCGTGTGTGTGTGTGTGTGTGTGTGTGTGCTCAAAATCCCAAAAGGGAAGTGAAGAAGGGATTGTGGCATGGCCATCCCCCCAGGGGGTGATTTCTCACTTTCTGTCGCTCTGTCTCTCTGTCTTTCCACCAAGCATACACACCCTATAGCAAAAATCTCTCTTAAACTAACTAAATAAATAAACTTCCACACTGTAGCATAAGACCTGGTATCACATTTAGTCAACACGATGCTCTGATTTACTACTCTCACCTTTACCTCTAGATCCTTAACTTGTACATCTCTAAATACAACCATCAACCAAACCTGGTTATTAACTGTTCACTGCCAGCACAGTGCTCAAGGCTAGGCAGAGTTGTTTTAGGACAGCCTTCAGCTGTAGGAAAGAACTCAGGAAACTGCAGAGAAAGCACCAATTGTACAAAGTAACACTGCAACTCTGAAAAGAGGGAGAAAGTATGAGGACTCCAGCCAGATTTTTAAACTCTGCTTCAACAAAATAGCACAACGGCTGCAACTGGGTGAATTAAAAATGAGCTAAGAGATTGTAGTCAAAGAAGAAACGAAACATGCATACCATATTAAAAAAAATCATGAACAATAGTTATCAAATTTCATCAAAATTAAATTGGCTACATGTAATTGATTATAAGTATGTAACTGAGAATCCAGCAAATGCAACACATCTTTGCCATCTTTACAGATGTCATGCCACAATGGATAGCAATGACAATTATACCCTCCTGTCCACTACAACTGACTCCTAATGCCAATTAGAGAAAATAGAAAACAAAATGGAAATGTTTTAATTTCATTGAGCCTTTGCTCAGGACTGCTAAGTATACTGCCCAATAGGAGATAAAGAAAATCTGTATAGGTACGTGGTAATAAATCTGACTGGCACACAGACGCAAGTTGCCTTCTGCTAAGATTATTTATCAATGTGTAAAGAATGGGTGAAGTCCAAGAAAAATACCTACTGCAACATCAATGAAAAGTCGCTGGGTGCCATGAATGAGAGCAGAGGACAATGCGGTCATTAACAAAAAGCAATGGCGCTCTGCAAAATGGCCTAGAGGACGTCTATGCACAAGATTTATCACTACTAGGAGGTCAGAGGACTGAAAACCCTTCAATAACATTAGCATCACTAAAACACTAAATGACTGCAGCTTACAGAAAACCAGACTGCTTTAGAAGGCAACCCATACATGATTCAAATATTTAATTTCACTTCGCTTGATTTAGGTACACTGAAATCTATTGAAGCCTGAGAAAACAGGAAGACTACAGGGAATCCTGCTGCTGGTCATTAAGAGGGATTTCACTCGATTTCTTTAATTGGCTCTGACTGCACCAGTAAAGTATAGAAAAAGAACTTTGGAAGTTTCTACTACAAATCACAAATACCTATGATCCAAAATAAAAGAAGAAAATTCCTGATTTTTTTTTTCCATGTTTGTATTTTCTTTAGAGAGGTTCAACTTCTACTCATAGATGTCCAGGATCCTGTGACTAGATAAAGAGTTGGAGGAAAAAACACTGCAGCATGCACAGGCCCATGGGGGCCCTCTCCCTCATGTAATATAAATAAATAAATCCATTAGATGTAGATTTTGGATTAATAACAGGATAGCAAAAACAGTTCCCACTCACTCTACTGACGGGAGGGCAAACTGTTACAACTTTGGAGAGCGACAAAATATGTTATCAAGAGTGGGAAATATGTTCTTGCCTTTGTATCCAGTAATAAAACTCTTGCAAATCTACCCTAAGAAAATGGTCTAAAATACAAAAACACACGTACAAAGACATTCACCCTGACTTTGTTTTTAATAAAGACTGAAATAACCTTAAATGCTCACTAGTATAATAACAGTTAAGCAAATTATGATACATACACAATGAAATATATGACAATTAAAAACATTTATCAAGTATTGAATTTTATATGAGATATTATGTCCACTATGTTCTACCCCCTGCAAGTACACATGCCCTATAGTAAACTAAAAAAAAAAAAAAAAAGCACTGACCAATAAATTAAAAGTTGGAGGGGCCAGCAGATGGCATGGTGGTGATGGTTAAAGATGCTGGACTTGCTCCCACACGGCCAACCATGGTTTGAGTCCTGAACCTAATGGCTTGCTTTCTCTCTCTGTCTTTGTCTCTCTCCAGTGAGCGTACATGCACTATAGCAAATTTTAAAAGAATAAATTAAATCAAATAAGTAATTCTAAAAAGAAAAGGTTAGGGGGCCAGAACATAGTGATTAAGGCACTAGACCCCCAGATGGTTGACCACAGTTTGAGTCTTGGATCCAGCAGCTTGAAACTCATGCTGGGAACATGTGCGTATGTGCCCAAAATCCCAAGATAAGAACGGAGGAGAAGGGATTGTGGTGTGTCCCCTCCCCGCCCCCCCGAAGGGTGAGTTCTCACTTTCTGTGTCTGGCTCTGGTTCCATTAACTACCAGGCCATGGAGCTGGACCTCTGTAAAGTTTTTGAAGTACCCTCATACACTCCGTCAAACAAGAAAAACCTGTGGCCTTCCATAGGCCATTGGAAACCTACCAGCCCTGACTGAGACACTAAGAAACCACACTGGAGGCCAGTAGATGGTATAGCAGTTACATCACTGGGCTCCCACATGGCGAATCACCCTTCAAGTCCCAGACCTGGTAGTTTGAAACTCAGGCTGAGCATGTGTGTGTGCATACCCAAGATTCCGGGAGAAGAATGGAGGAGAAGAGACTGCGGTGTGGCCATGCTCCCCACAAGGGTGAATTTTCACTTTCTTTCTCACTGTCTCTGTCTCTCTGGCAAGTACACATACCCTAAGACAAAAAGAAAAAAAAAAAAAAGAGAGAGAGAGAGGGGGAAAGAGAGAAAGAGAAACCATTCTGGAAAATTAACAGCAACAAGTATGATTTAAATTAGGAGCACAACACACAGGGATAGCATTCTGGACTTAAAAACAGCATGAGGAGAATTAGCAAATCACCATATCAAACTATAACTAAAAAGCATCCCAAAGCCAGTCCTGAATGCAGGAATGTATCTAGAATGAGAGAACTTGAGAGATGCTGTACAGAAAAATAGGACCCAGCAGCAGGACGTAGCCCCCCAGCTATCTAAGGCACATATCTGTGACCAGAGGTCTTCCTCTCAATATAGACCCCAGAAACTCAAAGAACAGCTATACAAGCTATTTGTTTTCATTTTTATTCTTTATA